CACGACGTGTCTCTCACGGCCGACTCGCGCAAGAGCCACCTCCGCTTCTCGGCCGCCAGCTGCTGCGACACCCTGCCGGCCCGGCCGCCGCCCGACGAGCCCGCGCCGCTGCTCGGAGACCAGGAACCTGCCGGTCCCAAGCACGAGAACCCCGCCCCTCTCTCGGTGAGTTCTTCTGACCAAACTGTTTCTGCGAAGCTTCTCCTTCTGCTCTTCAGCTCTTCAGCTCTTTCCCCGCCGTATTTTGTTCTCTGTGTACGGAAGTTTGCTGACAAACCTGGCAGATATTCGTGCATTGACACTCTGTTGGCTGGTCCTTGCTCAGTCTTCCAGGTTGCTGAGGAGGCAGGTGTAGTGAGCCTGATGGTGGCTGGAAGTTTGGGTGAGGCTTCCTGTTTTCATCATGCACCAAGTCCTTTCCATGCCCTGACGTGTAACACCCGGGTTCCTTTCATTCCTTGGTCTTCTGTACAGGTGTGTTGCTTTATTAGCAAATTGTAGTTTGTGCTCTTTGCAGGTTCAGGTGTCTTCCCAATTGCACATGCACTTGATTTGGGTGAGGTTCTCTAGATTGCAAGATTAACTTTACTACATGCTTCTTATCATTTGTAACCTTTTAGTCTTCATGTATCTCAATGATACATAATGGAGGTCAGTAGGAAATGTCTTTGCATTCGTCCATACTTCGCTCTCTGTGTTTCCTGTAGGGAAATGGACTGGGCAACATCTGGTCCATTGATGATGTCTGTCTGCCTGTTATGAAGATGAAGGATTGGGTTGCAAGCAGTGACTGGTCAAAACCAGTTTTGGGTGCTGCCTGTGGAGGAGGAAATGCAGGAGGAAATGACAGGGGCGTTTTGCTGATTTATTGTCTTTTGAGGTTGAGTCTTGTGCAATGAGGCTGGATGTGCCTTGGCTATAAAATACATGTCATGGCAAGAGCCTTGCGGGAGTGCAAGGGGAGAGACTCAAGGTGCAGAGGGAGATGTAAGGAGAGGGTGATTGCCCCTATGCGGACCTTCACTGACCCACTGTGAATGTCTGCATACATTCACTGGAGCACTGCTCCTCTTTTCCTTTGAGGTTTCTTCACAGAAGGTCAGTGAGCAGACAAATGTATCTTTGTGCAGAAGTGTAAAGATATCTCTGTGAATTTAAGTGAATCGGTGAATTTAAGAGAAATGATCTGATAAACTGGGCCTTATGTGCCACGTGCTTGTAAATTAGATGGGTCAAAGGGCATCCTGGGTAATGTGATGGGTGGGAGATTCCAGTCCTGGGAGTTGTGCAGGATTGTCTGTTGAAGGACACAAGGGAAGGCTTTTTGTGTTTTTTGGTTCATGGCACAGCTGTAGTACCTTGCAATGTGAGGTTTTCCTTCCCCAGCTGTTTGGCTGGAAGACATGTTATTCTAGCCCTGGGAGGTTCTTTGTTTGTATTTGCATGTTGTCCTAATTGTGTAACTGCACAGCTTAATTATATAGTTATGACAAAGGTCATGTGGGAGCTCTGGGGAAAGCAAGTTGTGTGTTCACTGCTTACTAAACACCTAAATTATTGTTTAGTCTTAGTCATATAACTGGGAATAGTGTGTCATGATCTCTTCCTTTCTGCAGGTGTTTATTTCTTGCCTTGCTCTTTGATGACCTGAAGATGGTTCTTTCTCTCTGATAGTGTGTGGAAGATCAGATCTGTTCTATTTGCCTGCCTGTTCTGTAGGTGCCTTTCCTGTTTACAGCTGGAAAGAAAAAGACTTTCAGAGACATGTTTCTTTCACCTGTCACTGTAAGAAATGCTCTTGCTTGTCACATGCCAAGGGTGAGAAGTCAAATATTATCCACAGTAAGGAGACGTTGTCTGAGCAATGTTTCTTTTCTGGGGTGTCTGTGTGTGTGTCTTTCTGTCAATCTTGAAGATCTCTGATAACCATG